CATGACGGATCGGCCGCTAGGGTGAGAATCACTCCGGCAGGCGACCTCTCAAACTCAGTAGTTATCAATAGAGGTGGTCGCCAAGGATGTCTCCGTGCTCCGACCCTTTTAATCTATTTATAAGTGATATGAGGGCGCCTCTGATAGAGGCTCAAGAAACGATCCACGCCCCCCGTCTTGCCCAATATCGTTGCCCCCTTCTACTCTACGCAGACGACGCAGTGATCCTATCCTTTTCAAGAGTCGGCCTTAGGAGGGCATTAAAAATCTTCGATGTTTATTGCAAATCAAATTTTCTTACAATTAACCATGTTAAGTCCAAAGTCCTAATTTTCACCAAGAGTCGAAAAACCTATAATTGGAGAATAGACGGAAAAGCTATTGACCAAGTCTTTAAATTTCAGTACTTGGGAGTCTTTCTCCAACACAACATGGGCTGGAAGGTCCATGTTGCATACGTATTAAACAGAGCTAAAGCCCTTTCCTATGCGCTATTGCGTTTTTTCTTTTCAGATGGGGCTTTCCATATTCCATCAGTATTAAAAGTTTTCAAGGCAAAGGTGATTGCAACAATAGCATATGCAGTCCCATTATGGGGGTCCTTTGCTAATCTAACCCATTTGGAGGTAATCCAAAACCAGCTTTTAAGAAGGTTGTTAAAATTACCCAGGTGTGTAAGCAATACTGCTATACGACTGGAACTAAATGTTACATCTCTAGAAACCACATTATGGAAATGCATCCTCTGTTATTGGTTGGCTTTATGGCATAAACTTCCAAATCTCCACTTGATACAGTGCCTCTGGAGAGATGACTTCCTAGCCCCTGGGCAAAAATAATACATGGGAAACTTGTGTCCCTAGGACTATCTCCATCTGAACTATTAAAATTGGATTTAATTTCGGCCAAAAGAATTATAACTCACAAATTAGAGGAGATGGATTTACAATTTAATATTGCGACAGGTGGTGGCACCTGTTCGCCGATAAACCTTGGCTTAACACCACCAACGAAACTTCCATCTTACTTAACTACCTTATCTGTGGTGACGCACAGGTATGCCTTTATAATGGCTAGATTCAATGCTTTCCCATCAAACGTGTTGGGTAACAGACTCTCCAACGGACAGATCTCACTCCTCTGTGACTGTAAAAGCGGATCTATAGAATCGTTATATCATATAATCTTCTGTTGTCCATTACATTCGGCTTCACGGTCCAAGTTTCTGGCCCCATATTTATCGAGAATTGCTGACAGTCCTCAGGAAGCCCAAATAATATACTTATTAAACGACGAAGATACAAGTAGATCCCTTGCAGTCGCTAGATACCTGATTAATGTTTTATTTCAAAAGAGGAGAAATGGATCACTGTATGTTTCTGACAGCTTAGCTAAACTTAAGAACCATCAATAAGTGCCAGAACTAAGACGTATACCCCCCAAAATCTGATGGATCGGAATTGCGGTTTACATAGAGGGAGCTTATTGTGTATAGTGTTTACTAAACTAAAGTAAAATCGGTTTTATAAGGGTGTTTTAACTTGGAACTGTTTAAATTGTATTGTTTATGGATAAATTCTGATGTATTGTTTTCGATATGGGCCAATGGCCGCAATAAATAAATCTCTAATCTCAGCACTTTGGAAAGGAGGTGGTGACTTGGGTTTCCCATCCCTCTAATTCAAACGTTTTCGTATTCAAAATAAGAATATTACACAGGTCTGTATTCTAGCCAGCAATTGAAGCATCTTCCACCAGTAGCAGAATCCAGGCTTCAAATTGGTCCCTAAACCTTAAGGGAATAAGCAAGATTTGGAAACCAGCATGCAACAGGGTATATTTCACGCTCGCCTTGAACGTCTCAAGTAAATTAACACTGCTACTTCTCAATCCATTGCCAGCAATTTGGCAGAGCAGCCCCGGTTTGCATCTGCCAGGTGTGATGCCACAGAAAAGTTGTTTTCATACAAATGAGGCAGAGGTGATTTCAGGCTTTCTGGTGAGTGTACATTCCAGTAGCTCTCTAACTGACTGGTGTGCCAGTATAATGCAGCAAGTTTGCAAACATGCGTTTAGAGAGTCACCGTTTATGGCATCAGCTTTAAGTGTATTCCTTAAAAATTACCGTACTTTTCCATGTATAACACGCCCCCATGTATAAGACGCCCCCTGTTTTGGGGGACTAAGAATTAAGAAAATGGGGGAAGATTGCCCAGAGTTGTTGAGCTTTGTTAAGGGGGGGCTTGCTGAAAATCACTCACCCGCCTGGCTGACACTCACACGCGTTGAAAAAGCTACTT